ATCCTCCACTACCTACTCAGGACATAAGCAGGAACCTGGATGGGAAGTCAAGCATCTGGGACATGAACCAGTACCCAAATGGGATGCCAGAGCTAGCAGGCAGCTTCGTCTGTTGAGTCATAGTGCTGGCACCCCTTTGGTTCAACTTTTGAAGACTATTTTCAGAGTAATTTAGACAATTCTGTTTCCCATGTTTGTCTGTCTGTGAGCAGATTGCTTCTCTGATGTGTGTACTTAGTTTCAATTGGATAGTAAGAGGTGGCTACTTACGAAGCAAGATATCTAGTATTAGAATATGAGTTGCATGCAGAAACATGTAAATTTTGAGTACAGTATAAAATTTACAGTACAAAATAGGCCAATGGCAGAAAGCAAAACGAGAAACGTTAGGGGCTGTGAACCCCCATGCTTCCATGTTTCTGCATGTAACTCATATTCTAATACTTACAAGTCTGAAACTGGTCTTCTAAGCCACTATGAAATCACATTTAAGGGAGAACAGAATATTATTTTTTAAAAATTCATTCATTTTTATTTGAAAGGCAGATTTTACAGAGAAGGAGAACTTTCGAGTTCTTCCAACCTTTGCTTCACTCCCTAAATGCCTGTAGCAGCCAGAGCGGAATCAATCCAAAGCTTGGATCCAGGAGTTTCTTCTGGTTTCCTATATGTTACAGGGCCCAAGTACTTGAGCCATCCTCCACTGCCTTACAGACCATAAGCAGGGAGCTAGATGGCAAGTGGTGCAGCCCGGACATGAACTGGTACCCATGTAGGTTAGAGGATTAGTCTGATATGCCACCATACTGACCCCTGGAATATTCTTAATTTAACAATTTTTTGTTTTGTTTATGACTTTCAAATATTTATATACAAGGTATTTTAACTCTGCATTTGTACTCTAGTTCAGTCCAATAACTTTTAAAGGCATGCTTGGTTGAATGATCTCATGAATGAATTATAAATAAAACACATGTGAAAGGAACACAATAATTACTTACTTTGCCACAGTTACTATACTGAGAATAACTGTACCAGAACTCTTCTATCTAAAGAATATTTCTGGTACAGATATAATCACTGATAAGAAAAAGGAAAACTTACTAACTATTTGAATGGAATCACTGGAAGTCTAAGTTACTGCACTTAGAAAAAAAGATAAAATTGGGCCCGGCGCCGTGGCGCAAGTGGTTAAGTCCTCGCCTTGCACGCCCGGGATCCCATATGGGCGCCGGTTCTAATCCCGGCAGCCCCGCTTCCCTTCCAGCTCCCTGCCTGTGGCCTGGGAAAGCAGTTGAGGACGGCCCAAAGCTTTGGGACCCTGCACCCGCGTGGGAGACCCGGAAGAGGCTCCTGGCTTCGGATCGGCATAGTATCGGCCCGTTGCGGCTCACTTGGGGAAGTGAATCATCGGATGGAAGATCTTCCTCTCTGTCTCTCCTCTCTGTATATCCGCCTTTCCAATAAAAAATAATAAAAAATAAATCTTTAAAATGATTTGGAGTTTAAAAAAAAAAAAAAAAAAAGATAAAATTGTTCATAGATGACATAGTCATCTATATAAAAATCTCAAGAATTATAAAAACTTTGATGAAAGAAATGAAAGAAGACTTAAATAAATGGACAGATACACCAGGATCATAAATGGGAAAAGACAATACGGTCAAGATGTAATTTCTTCCCAGTTTAAGCTACAGATTCAACACAACCCCAAATTCCCAGAAAACTGTACCCAGAAATTATCAAAATTTTAGAGGAAAACATAGGAAGCACTCTCCAAGATATAGGAGTTGGGAAAGACTTCTTAGGAAGGTCACCAAAAGCACAGGCAGTCAAAGCCAAAATAAACCAATGAGACTATGTCAAACTAAAAAAGCTTCTGTACAGCAAAGGAAAAAATCAATAAAGTGAAGAAGCAACCAATGAGATGGGAGAAAACTATCACATACTACACAACTGACAGGAGACTAATATCCAAGATTCACAAATAGCTTAAGACATTCAATGACAGCAAAACAAAATACATGGGCAAATGGAATGAACAGGCATTTTTCTGTTTACTTATTTATTTATTTATGATTTATTGGAAAGGCAGATATATAGAGAGGAGGAGAGACAGAAAAGAAGATCTTCCATCCAATGATTCCCCAAGTGACTGCAATAGCCAGTGCCGCACTGATCTAAAGCCAGGAGCCGGGAACTTCCTCTAGGTCTCCCATGTGGGTTCAGGATCCCAAGGCCTTGGACCATCCTCCACTGCTTTCCCATGCCACAAGCAGGGAGCTGGATGGGAAATGGAGCTGCTGGGATTAGAACTGGCACCCACATGGGATCCCGGCACATTCAAGGTGAGGATTTTAGCCAGTAGGCCACTGCGCCGGGCCCTTGAACAGGCATTTTTTTCAAAAGAACAAATTCAATTAGCTAACAGACATATGAAAAAATGATCAGGTTCCCCAGTTCTCAGGGAAATACCAATGAAAACCACATTGAGGCTCCATCTACCTCCAGTGAGACTGACCTATATTCAGAACTCCACAAACAACACCTGCTGGCACTGTTGTGGGAAGAAAGGATCCTCCTCCACTGCTGCTGGGAGTTTAAGCTAGTACAACCACTGTGCAAGTCAGTATGGAGAATGCTAAGAGAACTGAAAATCGACATGCTACATGACCCAGCTATCCCACTTATGGGAATATTTCCAAAAGAAGTGAAATCTGCATATGACAAGGTGTTCTGTAATCCTATATTTGCGACACCACATCTACAATAGCAAAGACAGGAAAACAACTCAGACAGATGTTAGTCAAAAGAGGAGTGGATAAAAAAACGGGTACATTTACTCCATGGAATAGTACTTAGCCATTAAAAATAATGAAATTCTACTATTTGCAACCAAATGGTCCCAATGAAACTCAGAGAAATAAGTCGATCCCAAAAGGACAAACACCATATGTACTCTCTGAAATAAGGCAACCTTCATGCAAAATACAAGATCAATAGCCCTTTCAGTACTCTTTTTGCTACATTTCATGAGTTTTGACATTCTTGTTTTCATTTTCATCTCTTCAAAAAAGTATTTTACTCTTCTTAAATTCTTCACTGACTCATAGGTCATACAGCAGCATCATTTTCTTCAATAAAGTTCTTGATTTTTTTCATTTCTTCAGCAACATATAAATCATTCAGTAACATGTTATTTAACTTCATAGTGTTGTAAATTTCTATTTTTCTTTCTGTTGTTGATTTTGTTTTTATGGTAAGTGTGTAATAGAGACTATCATATCCAGATGTGAGGATACAATACAGTATGTGTCTCTACTTTCATTTTCAAATCGAAGATGGACTCCCAATGAAACTTGACATTAGGATGTTGAATTCTCTGCTATTGCCCATACCCACAATGTCAGGATACATTTAAATAGCAGAATTACAGACTTACAACTATTTATGAAGGACTACACTATTGTAATAATATAGGGAAGATCAGCTGGGGAGAAAGGGAAATGGGGGGTGGGTGGTAAGGGAAATCCCAGAGCCTATGGCACTGTATCATTTTTTAAAAAAGCAGCGTTAGAGGACTGAAACCATCCAAATTCAAGACTTATTATAAAGCTAAATAATCAACAGTGTAATATTTGTGAAGAGGTAGAAAAACAGATCAACAGAACAGAATAAGGAACTCAAATATAGAAGCATACAATATAGTAAATCACTCTTCAAAAAAAGTAGCAAAGGCAATACAATGAAGAAAATTGTATTACAAAAAGTACTGCCATAGCTGCACTTTCACAGGCAAATCAAAACCACTTCATATGACATCCTGAAAAGGGAAAAGCATGGAGACAGCAGAAAGAGAAACTCTCTTCTGGGGGTCTGAGGATAAGGAGGAAGGATGCCAAAAATGGAGCATTTTCAGGGCAGTGAAGCTACTGCGTATGACACTACAACTGTGGACACATCCATATTTTGTCCCAACCCATTTTAGGCAAAATACCAAGAAGCGAACCCGCATGTCAACTACAGATTTTGCATAATAATATATTAATATGCTTATTAACTATAATAAATTGTGAGGAGGATGGTGATAGGAAGGCTGTCTGTATGGGTGCAGGAGGTTACATGGGAAGTCTGTAATTTTTGCTCACTTTTTCTGTGAACTCAAAAACTCTCAAAAACAAGATTTATTTATGAAATGAATGGGTCAGTGTTTGTATCCCAAACGGGCATCAATGAGAGTTCCGACTGCTCCATTTCCAACCCAGTGCCCTGTTTAATCAACACCTGAGGAAGCAGAAGGTAGCCCAAGTGCTTAGGCATCTACAACCACGTGGGAGACCTGTATGAAGTTCTGGGCTCCTGGCTGCTGCTTGGCCCAGTCCTGGCTGTCACAGCCATTTGGGGAGTAAGTGAATGGAAGGTCTCTTTTCTCTCCCCTTCCCTCCCTCTTTTCTCCTCTCTCCCCTTCTTTCCGTAACTTTACCTTTCAAAAAAATAAATCTTTTTTCTAATTAAACAAACAAGGTAAGTATTCACTATCTTTCAGTATTCTATTAGTATCAAAATAGTTGCTTCCCATATGGTTTAAAAGGCTAAACTACTGGGGATCAGCTTTATAGCACAACAGGTTAAGCTGTTACTTGCAATGCTGGCATCCCTTATCACAGTGCTGCTTTTGATACAGCTTCCTGCTAATGTGTCTGGCAAGACAGCAGAGGATGGCCCAAGTGGTTGGGCTCCTACCACCCATGTGGGAGACCAGGCTGATGAAGTTCCTGGCCCCTGGCTCCAGCCTGGCATACTGCAACCATTTGCATGGTAAACCAGCATATGGGAGATCTCTCTCTCTCTCTCTTAATCTCTTTGTTACTCTGCCTTTTAAGGAAATAAATAAATTCTTTAGGGGGGAAAAATAAGGAAAACTGATTATTTTTAAAATTTAACTCCCCAAATCTCTTACCCGGTCATTTAAGGCTTACAATGAGGATCCAAGAACTTACTTTTCAATTTTCTTCTTTTGTTCTTTTTGCCTTTTTTGTTCTTTAACTTGCTCTCTCTCAATATCCATGAAAAGTCGCCTATGTCTCAGGTACTGCCTTTGACGCTAAAGAAAAGAGGTTTAAAATTATTCACTTTCTACTCTCAGGACTTTTCTGAGGAACTCTTTTGGGATAGATAAAAAAGTCATGTAACATGGACTATGTCCTTGATTTACCTCTGACTATGGTGACTCAAGATAATATCCCATGCAAGAACTTTATATTTTTAAGAACATAGCAATTAGGTGTTCACCCACAAAGCAGAGAAAGAAGTACTCATTTAGCTTGCCCTTAGTACAATCTCTTGTCAATAGTACTTGAGGAAATGATTGTACTGTATATGATAAGATATGTATTATATTTACTCTGTGTTCCCAAGTGGTAAGTGCCATAAAAGCAGGGCCACCAAAAGAATGTGAGAGGTATTTATAGCAGAACAATAATCACTTCAACTTTTCAATGGCAGAGAGGAGGGCAGGAGGGCTACAGTATATCAGGACATCGTATTCTTAAATGCAGCAAGTATCATAAAAGCAAATGCTGTTACACAGTGATCCATCCGTATCTCTGGATTTATTTACACTCACTTCAGGATACAAGATATGCTTTTTAAAAAATAATTATTAAAAATCTAAGTAGCAGTTCTCAATATTGAGAATGTACCAGAATCAAGAATGTTACCTTCTATAAGCATAAATGCTCTAAAACTTCCTTTTTACTCACCAACTCAATATATCTAGTTGAGTCCACATGTCTGTATTTTGAAAAACAACAACAACAATAAAAAAGTTTCATATATGATATTGATGCATAGCCAGGGTTAAGAACTGTTGGGTTAAAGGAGGGACTGATGGGCTAGCCAATCTTAAGTTGACATCAGCAGGAAAAATGCACTAGCCTAAGATCTGAGTTCACAACAACCCTAAGAATTTGGAAAAGTCCACCACATTACAATGTTTCCATCAACTTCTTAGCATCTGTGGTATCAGTTCTTAGTGTGCCAAGAGGTAACCAAATGTTCCTCATTTCATACAGGCTACAACAGAAATACTGGTATCTGAAAACATTATCATCACATACTTCCTTCTTGTCCTCTTCTTGATCTACTCCAGGCCGAAATGCCAGTGGAGCCCGGGATTCCCATCTTGACTGACAGTTGTTACAAACCTGTTGAAAATCCAGTCACATACAGCAACAAAGTTATCAGATGCTATCCTTGTGAACCCTTTAGATATTTTTAACATTAATTCTCTTTGCTTGCAAACTTAAGCAACAGATAAAGAACCAAACAACAAATATCTGAAAAAAAGCAAAAAAAAAAAATTATGAAAGGAAGCAGTATCAGAAGGAATTAATGCCAATTGTTTTTGGTGTTTGAATAATTCATTTCAAAAATAAAAATGAACAAATAACTAAAAAGTTCTTCTGAAGTGACTACTGTAAAATCACTCTGCCCCCAGGAGTGTTTGGAATCGAGTACAGGCTCTAAAGCCAGATCCCTTAATATCTCAAATCTATGGCCACTTTCAGTCTATGTAACTGTCTTGATAGGTGTTAAGCATAGAGTATTAGAATCTAAAAACATATCAAACAACTTACATGTCAGAGGAAACTGGAGCTAATGTTCCCCACATTAACTAGCCTTATCACATAACCTGGTAAATATACTTGGACATTATATGGGTTAAACTATGTATTTCCAACTTGTAGAAATAAAAGGTAACAGCTTTCTTTAATTTCTTCAGTTTAAAAGTTATTTAGCAGGGCCAGGGTTAAGTAACAGCCTGCAACATCAACATCCCAGATGAGCTTCAGCTCTAGTTTCACTTTCAGTTCCAGTTTCACTTTTAATTCAGCTCTCTGTGTCTAGAACGCAGTCGAGGCCCCAAGTACTCTGGCTCCTGCCATTCATGTGGGAGACCTGGATAGAATCCCAACTTCTTGGCTTCAGTCTAGTCAAGCTCTAGCTGTCACGGACATTTAGGGAATGACAAAGTCACTCTCTTTGTCTCTAATTCTGCCTTTCAAATAGTAAGTAACTTTAAAATTTATATATTTTTCAGCAAAACTGTAAAATACAAGACCAATACATAAAAGAATTTTACTTCCATAACTCTTATGGACCACCTTAGAAACGAAATTAAGAAAAAATTTTCACTGACAAAGCCATCAAAAAACAGTAAAACAATTAAGGGATAAATCTAATGAAGAAAGCAAAAATTTTATAAAATCTAAGAGACACTGTTGAAAGAAATTAAAGATACAGATAAACAGAAGGATATCCCAATATTCACAAATTGGAAGATCTCATATTAATATGGCAGTCAATGTTTTAATTAGGATATTTAATTCAATTTCACCACAGTTGATTTCCTTGCAGAAATTGACAATAGGATCTTAAAATTCCTACGAAAATGCTAAGGAATAGTTAGGACAATATTGAAAAAGAACACGGTTTGAGGGAGCCTGGTATGATAGCCTAATGGCTAAAATCTTCACCTTGCATGCACCAATCTCATAAGGGTGCTGGTTCATGTCCCAGCTGCTCCACTTCCCTTCCAGTTCCCTGCATTTGACCTAGAAAAGCAGTTGAGGATGGCCCAAAGCCTTGGGACCCTGCACCTGCATGGGAGACCCAGAAGAAGCTCATGGCTCCTGGCATTGGACCAGCTCAGCACCAATTGTTGCAGCAGAGGAGTTAACCAGCAGATGGAAGATTTTTCTGTTTCTCCTTCACTCTAAATTTGACTTTCCAATAAAAATAAATAATTTTTTTAAAAGAACATAGTTTGAGGAATCACTTTTCTTAATTTCAAGACAGGTTCACTGGCTTAAGAAAACAGAACCAACCCAGCAATTGCAACCACCAGCTGATCAGGGCGATAGACTGTGCCAGGCCCTGTACTTGCTAGCACATACAAGAATCAGATCCGAGAACACCTCAGACAAAGTTTCATTGGAGATCTCCCCAATCAAAATGCTGGACTCAGAACCCTAACCATGAAAAGAGAGAAGACAGAACAAGTCAACCAACCATCTCAGCTATGTCTTGGCAGTGAAATACGGGGCAAACAGAGACTCTATGATGGACTATGTCAATCACTGGAATCCACAAGGACCTCATAGTGCTTGGAGTGGCAAGATCGGCAGCGATTCAAAACTGTTGAAATATCAAAACCACCTGAGCAAGAACCTCAGAGCAAACCCTACATCTGGGACCTGGGGAGGGTGGGAAATTGGGTGGGCCTTCTCCCTTAATACCCTCCTTTAAACATGAAGGAAACAATATGGAAAAAATAATAGTCTTACCCACTTTCCTGTAGCCCTTGACCCTTTTTACCCTAATTAACTATGTAAAGATTGTCAAAATATATTTTAAAAATTTGAAATAAATAAATAAATTGGTCCTTTTCATAAAAAAAAAAAGAATACATACACAGATCAATGAAACAGAATTCAGAAGTAGGACGTAAGCCTGTGGCACTGTTGCCCTGTGATTTTTTTGTCACAGCATCAAGGCAATTCAGTAGTGAAGAACACTCTTAACAAGCAGCGCTGAAATATTGGTCATCCACATACAAACAATGGAATTAGGCCATTTCCTCACAGCAAAAACAAAAACATAAAAGTATACCACAACCTAAATTTGAGAGAGATAAGATCCTTAGAGAAACAGAGTATGTATTCAGAACCTTGGATTAGATAATGGGGTTTTGCTTGTGAGTATGTGTGGATTTTAAAGATTTACTTTTTTATTTGAAAGGCAGATTTTACAGAGAGAAAATAAACAGAAAAAGAAGTCTTCCATCTGCTGGTTCATTTTCCAAATGGCTACAAGTGCCAGAACTTAGCAGATCTGAAGCCAGGAGCGAAGAGCTTCTTCTAGGTCTCCCACATGGGTACAAGACCCAAGTCTTTAAGCCATTCTCTGCTGTTTTCCCAGGTTATAATCAGAGAGCTAGATTGGAAATAGAGTAGGCAGGACATGAACTGGCATCCACAATGGGATGTTGACGCTAGCAGGCAGAGGATTAGCTTGCTATAGCACTGCACTAGCCCCTTCTGTCTTTAAGACTATACCAAATGTGTAAGATGAAAAAGAAAATGCAATTTGGACTCTGTAAAAAAATTTAAAATGTAGGGTGGATGTGTGGTGAAATAGGCTAAGGTGTGGCTTGGGATACCCTTATCCCAAATCAGAGTGCTAGCTGAAGTCTTGACTACTCTGCTTCTGATACAGCTTCCTGCTAATGCATCCTTGGAGGGGCCATGCCGCCCACACAGGTCTAGATGGAATTCCAGGTTCTTGGTAGTAGCCTTGCCCGGCCCTGGTTGCTGCAGGCATTTGGGGAGGGAACCAGCAGTTGGAAAACAGCTTTCTCTTTTGCAGACAAAGTTATCAAATGAAAACATACTTTCAAAAGTTTATAACTTCTGTACTACAATGGATAATATCAAGGAAGTAAAAAAACAACCTCTAAAATAGGGAGTAAAATCCTAAGATATGGCTTGTATAGAGCCTGTGTGCAAAAAATATTAAGAACTCTTATAATTCTATAATCAAAACAAAAAAACCCACACAATTAGAAATTAGAAATGACTATTCTCCTAAGAAGATATACACATGGTTAATAAACACTTGCAAAGTGCTGAACACTTTAGTCATCAGGAAAAATACAAATCAAAAGTATAGAAAGGTACTGCTAATTTCACTTGGGAGGGAATAATTTAAAGTAAAGATAACAGGTTCTGGTGAGAATGTAGAGAAACCTGAACCTTTTACACTGTTGGTGGGAATGAAAAATGGCAAAGCCACCCTGCAATATAATCTGCTAGTTTATATGTTTGAACACAGAGTCAGCACATGTCCCGGCCTTCTCATTACTAGGTATCTATACCCAAGAGAAATGAAAAAATATGTCCAGAGAAAAACTTACACAGAAATGTTCACAGCAGCATTATTCCTAACAGTCAAAAAGCAGAGATAGGCTAAATGTCCGTCGTTTGTTAAAATGACCAGTAAAATGTGCTGCGCGTATAATATTAGTTAGCAATGCATTCGAAGGAAGCACTGCTGCACGCTACATCAATGAACTCTGAAAACATGCCAAATAAAGAAATCAGTCACAGAAAGCTACATATTCTATGATCTAATTACTGTATGTCTATAATAGACAAATCGACAAAGACAAAACAATCTAGTAGTTGCAGAGCTGGAGATGGTACTTTGGAGAAATGAGGACTGGCTGACGCTGGGAAAAGGTCCTTTTAGGGGTGATAAAAAAGTTCTCTAATTTCGCCTGGCATAGTAACCTAGTGGCTAAAGTCTTTGCCTTGCACACGCCAGGATCCCATATGGTCACTAGTTCATGTCCCGTTGGCCTTGCTTTCTATCCAGCTCCCTGCTGGTGGCATGGGAAAGCAGTCGAGGACAGCACAAAGTCTTGAGACACTGTAAATATTGTGGGAGGCCCTGAAGAAACTCCTGGCTCTGTATACCTGTTTTTCCAATAAAAAAACAAACACACAAATAAATAAGTATTTTTTAAAAGTTCTGAAATTGTGGGGCCTGGCGTGGTGGCGCAGTGGTTAAGGTCCTTGCCTTGCACGCCCGGGATCCCACATGGGCACTAGTTCTAATCCCGGAAGCCCCGCTTCCCTTCCAGCTCCCTGCTTGTGGCCCGGGAAAGCAGTCGAGGACGGCCCAAGGCTTTAGGACCCTGCACCGTGTGGGAGACCCGGAAGAGGCTCCTGGCTTCGGATCGGCATAGTATCGGCCGTTGTGCTCACTTGGGGAGTGAATCATCGGACGGAAGATCTTCCTCTCTGTCTCTCCTCTTTGTATATCTGCCTTTCCAATAAAAAAATAATAAAAATAAATCTTAAAAAAAATGAAATGCTTTAAAAAAAAAGTTCTGAAATTGTGGCAATCCTTGCACAACCCTGTGAATATATTAAAAACACAGAATCATGTACCTGAACTAGAACAATTATATGGTATATGAATTAATAGTCAATCTTCATTAGTTCATTAGCTCCATTTTCCATATCTGCAATCATGCTTATCATTAACATTTATGTGCAATCTGAATATTCACAACATTCATACAGTCCTTTGCAGACACAGCACAGAACCATGAGAAATCTGAGTCACACAGTGCATGCTGCCAGCTGTGATCAAACATGGTAATGCTCTACCTTTGTTTTAGCTCTCATAAACAAAAGTACTTTTGTAGTCTATTTACATCAAGGTGTGTTTTCTTTTTTTTTTTTTTTTTGCAATTGGGAGTGTTTTGTTAGTGATTTCATCATTTAAAATGAACCTCGATATAGTGCTGAAATGGTATTTATCAATTCTAGACACAAAAAAGGTGGTGACACGTCTGATGGAGAATGTACAGATGTTGGGTTAGCTTTAGTCAGGCTTAGCATGAGCTACGGTGTTCTTAGCTGTGAACTCAATGCTAATGGGTCAACCACATATACTAAAGAATGTGTTTTCTTATAGAAATATCATACAACAAGAAAAGGTAGGGCTGGCGCAATAGCATAGCGGTTAAGGTCCTCGCCTGGAACGCCCAGGATCCTACATAGGCGCCAGTTCTAATCTCGGCAGCTCCACTTCCTATCCAGCTCCCTGTTTGTGGCCTAGGAAAGCAGTTGAGGACAGCCCAAAGCCTTTGGACCTTGCACCCATGTGGGATACCCGGAAAGAAGTTCCTGGCTCCTGACTTCGGATTGGCACAGCACCGACCGTTGCGGTTACTTGGGGAGTGAATCATCAGATGGAAGGTCTTCCTCTCTGTCTCTCCTCCTCTCTATACATCTGCATTTCCAATTAAAATAAATAAATCTTTAAAAAAAAAAAAAAAAAAAAAAAAAACAAGAAAAGGTTTCCTACTCTCTGTGACCCACCTCGCAAAGGAGAAATTCTAGTTTCAATGTCTTGCCTTCTGAAGGGAGAAAGGAAATAGCAGAAAGGAGGACAGAGCGTTAAAGACACTTGCCTTGTGAGACTCGCCTGGGGATGTCATTCTCCAAGGCCTACCACCACCCAAAGCAAGCCACAGGCTGAATACAATTGCTTCCAAAATCCAAATGGCACTATTTTTGCCTACCTAGAAAAATGCATTCTAAAATTCCTAAGAGATCTCAAGAGAATCTAAACAGCAAAACCAGGTGTATTTTAAGCTACAAGTTTCACTCTTCCTGGTTTCAAAACTTATTACAAAGCTACAGTAATCAAAACAACGTAGTACATACAGACAGACACATGCCGATGGGACAGAACGTAGAGCAAACACTGGCACATCACATGCTTTTGCATCAGTCAGAACCATTTGATGAGGAAAGGACAGTCTTATCAGCAGATGCGGATGGGGACTCTGGATTAACAAAAGCAAAACAACGAAATTGGGCCCTTGTCATATATCATCTACAAAATTAACCCAGAAAGTATCAAAGATTTAAATGAAAAACACAGGAAATATGTTTCATGACACTGGAATTGGCAATGATTTCTTTAATATGATACCAAAAGCACAAGTAATTAAAGAAACAAATAGATAAATCAGGCTACCTTAAAATAAAAAACTTTTTCACATCAAAGGACACTATCCACAGAGTAGAAAGACAGCATATAAGATATGGGGGAAAACACTTGCACTGAGAAGAAAACAGACAGGAAGCAAGGACAGAGAAAAACAGAAACAGAAAAGGCTGTCTGTGCTAAGTTGATCAAGATTTTGAAAAAAATATTTATTTTTTTAATTGGAAAGTCAGATTTAAAACATTTCCTTATTTTATGATATTTCTATAAGAAAACACATTCTTTAACATACGTGGTTGACCCATTAACATTGAGTTCACAGCTAAGAACACCGTAGCTCATGCTAAGCCTGACTAAAGCTAAACCAACATCTATATGTTCTCTATCAGGCGTGTCGCAAAAATTTTTGTGTCTAGAATTGGTAGATACCACTTCAGCACTATACCGAGGAAGACTTACAGAGAGAGAAGAGACAGAGAGAAAGATCTTCCATCTTCTGGTTCACTCCCCAAGTGGCTACAAAGGAGCTGAGCTGATCCAAAGCCAGGAGCCAAGAGTTTGCTCCAGGTCTCCCACATGGGTGCACTGTTCCAAGGCATTGGGCCATCCTCTACTGTTTTCCCAGGCCACAAGCAGGGAGATGGATGCAGAGAGATGGAAAGCAGGGAGATGGATGGAAAGTGGGGCAGCCAGGACATGAACCAGCATCCACATGGGACCCGGTACATGCAAGGCAAGGACTTCAGCCACTAGGGCACCACGCCAGGCCCCATCAAGATAGCCTTTTCCTAGGAAATGTCATTTAAGCTGAAATCTGAAGGATAAGTAAGGACAACATTTTGAAGAAAAAAGGGGAAGACAATCCAGGGGAACAAACATATACAAAAAACCTGAGGTAGGAAAAGAGCCAGGCATGGTTCAGGATATAGAAATGACAACACAGAATAAAACATGACAGTTAAGCTTTTGATCAACTTTATAAACCCAAACTGAAAGTCACACTTTGATCCTTGAACTTCAGTCCAAATCCTAATTTCTGATACCACCTGCTTTTCTTTATGCTCCAGCAGAAGATGTGAGGAAATTTCTGTTTATCACTTTCACACGCTCTAACTGCCTGAAGCCTTGTTTTTTAAATTACATAAGATGTTAAGCTTTAGTAGGAATAAACTGGTGTTCAGTTAAGCAAGCCCAGGATACATTTTAATAGGCCAAGATAACCTTTTCTTTTATGGCTCTTATCTTAACAGAATGCCCCAAGCCCTAAGTAAAAATCTTAAAAAGCCTCAGCCCAGTCTCACTGATTTCCTGGTAATGCAATCTTGTGCTCCATGAGGTCACTGATGAAGATCCAGACTCCAGACTGGCCGCAGGGTGAAGATTTCACATATCTTCTCACCATAAAAGGTGATAGCCACAGTTTCCTAAAGAGGCAACAGGTACTCCCAACAATACCTGAGGTTTCACTGAGAGTTCTAAAATCACCTGAGATCAGGACAGGATTTGGATATTGTAAAATTAAAATTAAAATTCTGCCTTTTTTAAAAAAAAAAAAAAACACTGATTTACTGATCTGGAAAGTCAGATATACAGAGAGGAGAAGAGACAGAGAGGAAGATCTTCTGCCCGATGATTCACTCTTCAACTGACCGCAACAGCCAAGAGCTGAGCTCTGATCTGACCCAGGAGCCTCTTCTGGGCTGCCCACGTGGGTACAAGGTCCCAAGACTTTGGCCCATCCTCTACTGTTTTCCCAGGCAGGGAGCAGGATGGGAAGCGGGGCTGCCAGGATTAGAACTGGCACCCACATGGGATCCCATTGTGGCCAGGGTGAGGACTTCAGACACTAGGCTAGCGTCAGACGCAAAAATCTGCCGTTTGATCCTGCCATTAAGCAGGGGATGAGCAGGAGTCTAGAATCCGGTCTGAATTGTATTTGCCATCTTCTGCAGTCTGCTTTACCTTTTTTCTGTGGGAAGCATCTCTCTGGGGCCTCCGAGGAGGATGCTGATGGCTATTCAGAAGCAAATCATCTCGCCACCTTTCAGCTGTCTCAACAGACACCTGCACCCTAAAGGATAAGCTCTAAAAGATAAAAAGGTACTATCAAATCATGTGAGCGGTGACATAACACTAGTGATAATATTGTAGGTTTGCTTCAATGATCGCTCACAAGGCTCTGACACATCACCACATCAAAGCAGACATTATATTTCATGTCACTATTATGTATTTTAACTCTACCTACAAAGCAACCTTAGATTTTATTCACAAAATAACAATCATATCTGTCTCCTAGGGTTATTGCGAGAATTAAATGAGAATCTACATAAAATTCTGAAATCATTTTGGCTAAGGTAAGTGCTCAATGAATATAAGCCACTATTCATATTACTAGCACTACTGCTAAAAGCTAATACTATTATCATCACCTTAGTTAATAACACAGACCTGGTAAGATGAACCCAAACCAACTGTTTTACTTTTTGTAGCTTACGCTTTGCTCTGTTCTCCCTGCACTCAGGCAGAGCCTGGACACTGGATTTCACATGAAATACAACCATGACATTCCAGAAATAACTCATTTCTACCTTTCTCATCTGTTCTATCAGCTGATGCCTGCCCATAGTCTGTGTACTAGAAGGCAACATGAACATTGAACACCAATTTTCCAATCAGGAGCATCAGATCAGTGGTGACAGTACTTAAAGCTTCTGTGAACAGGCCTGAAGTCCTTTCAGTAAGTGGGATATATGCCAGAACAAGAAGACACTAAATTCTTTGCCTTTTATTACTGACATTAACACTAACTCCGGAGGCAATTATCCCAACGCTCAGTAGATCTTGAGCCAAACCCTAAGTAATTTACTCTCCACTGTTCACCACATTCCACTACACTTATCTTCAGGAAAAGACTAGGTTGTGAATACTGGGTGAAACATACTGACAGCACTCCTGAAGCAATTTCTCTTGCAGTCTCCAATTTCTCAAAAGATGAGGTTTACTAGATACACTTGCTCTAAAACAATAAGATATAAACTGTCTAGGTAGAAATCATAAGCTAGTAATAATATTACACACTTCAGTGGCAAACTCAGAATAATAATAAATGAGGATAATGGAACACAGGGAATAGCATAATGAATTTCAAACATTCATCACTCAACTGTAACATTTTCTGTTCTATTTAAGATTATTTAAGGGGCTGGCATTGTGGTCAGGTAAAACCATGGCCTGTGACACTGTCATCTCATAAAGATGCCAGTTAATGTCCTGGCTGCTCTACTTCCAATCCAGCCTCCTCTGCTAACCACCTGGGAAAAGCAGTAGCAGATGACCCAAGCATATTTTGCTTTTAGCCCAACTCTGGAGGCCTTTATTCTAGGTACCACACAAACAAGCTAGCTTAACAAGCTCTGGCCTTACTCTTCAGTAATTCAGTCTCACTGTCCTACTAGAAAATGTATAGCTTTTCTTCTGTATTCAATTCTGTCTCTTTTTGTGGGGAAGGCTAGGTGCTGAACTTGAGGTGGAGCACATCGATAATATTCAAGGGGTAATTCTCTCTCTTTTCTTATAAAACATGAGGGATGCTGCGGAAACGTGTTCTAAAGGGATAACAAAAACCGAAAGCAAATTGCTTATCCAGGGCGATATATTAATCACACAGCTGTAGGCTTCATTGAGAACTCCTAGGAACTGGTACCAGGTAAGAATATTCTGATGTATTTTGACATGAATGAGGATCCTATGTTTTCAGCCCAACGCAGCAGACATAAACATGATATAACAGCCTATGAGCATTCACTTAATTTGACTCATAAAGTCCATTATTACATAGTCCATTAGAGCAGTCTTGTATCATTAGTTGCAAAGGACAACAGAAAAAAGGGGAGGGGGGATCCCTAGCAGAAAATTACTCATTTAGGGTTTAACAATCTGTATCCACTCTTCTTGAAGCAGTGTTTCTGTCTCAATAGAACTTAAAACTACTTTCCCACTAATGTGAAAAGGAATAAAAGATACTCATTTTTACATCAACTTCAAAGTTTCTGATTCTAACATTCCAATTATGAGTTACCAAGAATGTATAAATAAAATTCAGTTTCTTAATCTGTTGCTTCTTCAATCTTTTTTTGATTCTGCCTACCGGGTCTCTGAGGAGGTCCTGGAACTGGAGTTTAGGAGGCTGACACTGATAGTCCTTCAGAGAAAAGTCTTCTCTCCCTTTCTCATCTGCCACATCAGGGTTTGTTTCCTTACAGTGTACCTTCTCAAAGAGAAAAACAACAAACTTTAATGATCTGGTGGGAATGAAAGTAACAGTATTCTGTTATTCTAAGCTTCTTTTTTTTTAATACTCAGAATAACAGGAAATATTTGGAACAAAACAAAAAATCTTATTTATATCAGTTCTAAAGTTTAGTTGAGAACACTCTTTAAGAGCTCCAAAATAAACTCTAAACAATTAATTTCCTGCTGGTCTCTGACCTTTTTCCGTTCTATCTGGTCCCTGATGAAGCCCCTTTCTACCATCCTTCCTCTGAAAAAACTGATGCCAGCAAGTTTGCTTTCTAAAAAGAACAATCACAAAATGTCATTTGTTTAGTTAATAATGGTGAGTGACCAAGACTGTAGGCTTTGGTGAAAATTCAGTAGTTTAGGTCAGAAAAAAATTGGGCATCTGATTAAACAAAAATTCCTCAAAAATCTAGCCACAGCACTAAGCAATTTCCTTGTGTTAATCCCCTTCTCCTTTCTTTTGTTCTAACCGATCTGATGGAAGGCCATCCTTAGGACTTGTAAGATACTGCTGGGTCTTGGTAGGCCCCTCCTTTTTCTATCTTTCTGTTGTTAAAGCAGATGATGCCTGCCAGAAATAATTTTCCTAATAAAGACAATCTTTAGCAAGTAAATTGTTGAGATATCAACAACGTGCTGCTGACAATACTTGAACACTTAGTAAAAATCCCTGGAGTATTGAGAAATCAATCAGGAAACTGTACTTCCTAACTATGACACTCCAAATTTGACACAATTAGATTTAGTTAATCCCACAGTTAGATTTAGTAAATTCCACTCTACAAGCAAAAGTAGCTTATTTCTTCTTCTTGTAGTCCCTTCCAACTATGTATTTTACCTGATATTTGGATGGAATATTCTGGGTATTGTGAATAACACGATGATCTCCAGATAGAAAATTCTGGTGACTGGGGAGAACTTGATAATCTTTGGGCAAAATACTCCAGTCTTTGGGTAGAAAGTTCTGGTCCAAATATTTGGATGGGATATTCTGGTTAGTAGGTAGAAAATGCTGATCTCCAGATAGAAAATTCTGATCTTTAGGTAGAAAATCCTGTACTTGCCATTTGGGTGGAAGCTTCTGCTTTCTGAAGGGAACATGGTCATCTTTAGGTAGAAAGTTCTGCTCTTGACAGTCCAGTAAAATATTCTGGTCTTTGAGCAGCACACATGGATCTCCAGGTAGAAACTCTTGGTCAGCACAACTGGGTAAAATTGCCTGGTCCTTGGAGAAAACACTCTGGTCTTTGGGTAGAAAATCCTGGTTCTGACATTTCAGGAGAATATTCTGGTTTTTGGGGAAAACACATAAGCCTCTGGATGGAAAATCTTGGTTCTGACAGTTGGGTAAAATATCCTGGTCTTCAAATAGAAAATTCTGGTCATGATGTACAGGTAGAATGCTCTGGTCTTTGGCTAGAAAAGTCTGGTTTGACGGTAAAAAATTTTGAGTTTGCAACTCAATACTCACATCTTCTAGCCCAACACTCTGGGCTTCCAACATATTACTCTGAGTATCTGTCTGAACAATCTGTCCTTCCAGTGGAATAGTCTGTTTTTTTAGCTCAACAGCTTGAATCCCCAGGTCAACAGCCTGAGTAAGAGGCTCACCGTCCTGAGCTTCCAAGTCAACACTGTGAACTTCTTTTAAGTCACTCTGAGATTCTGGTAGTCCACCTTTGGTTTCTTGATGATCCTGGTCTTGTGGAATATGGTGAAAGCTCTGAGGATGTAGTTCAATTTGCTCTTCCTGTTCCATCATAACATTTTTAAATTTGACTTTCTAAAAGTGAATACAAACATTAAATATACAATGTCACATAGTAACAACACTCAAAATTCCTAAAACAATACTGTTGTCAAAGAAATTTATAAAATAAAATGTTATAATCTTTACCTACTTAACAGAACTGAAGAAGTTGAGTGCATCGGTCAAGGGACAAAGGAGCTATTCGCAAGCTAGGAATACCTGGGTTGTGATTAACCTTGGAACACCAAGCAGCAGACCAAACTTCCTGTGCTGTCTCTTCTTTGTGCCTCCCTCTGGTTAAAAATAACAAAAGAGAGTGTCCCTGGCCTCAATACTATCTTTTCTTCCTGTTTTACATGAGTTACAAGTAACTAATCAAAGTATACCAAGACTCTGTGTTAATGTCTTCTCCCTATTCTAAGAATTGCTAGCTTCATGTATTAATTATTAATTAATTAAAGCTTTGTATGACACCCAAGTTATTTCTAGGTATAAAACTCTATGTTTTGTTAGACAAAGTGTGTCATTCTGAAAGAGTGGATGATGCACAGATTAATAAAATCATTTCTCCGTTAAGCATCTTCTTGTTGTATGTTCAATTAATCCAGACAAGAACCCACATCTATGATCCCAAACAAGTACAACAGCATCAGTGACCCCCTAGCCCAAGTCACAATAAATTTTCCTTTTGTTTTACCTGAACTCTGCTACAAGACACATCCTTGTCTTCAGAAACAAATTCTTGCTGGTCCACCTGAAACAAATCTTCCCTTCCTTCCTCATTTGTTTTAACTGATGAAACTTCTTCATGGTCAAGTTCCTAAAGAAAATTAAAAAGAAAAATTAAAAAAAAACAGAAAATGTATTTATTACTGGTAGAAACAATGTAATTTCAATATAATGCTAGACTTCAAGACACTCTAACAGAACCTTATCAGGATAGCAAGTGAAGTAGAATTAAAGTTTTATGGTAATAGGTTGTAGACTAAAACTATAAAATACTAGTGAAAGAAATTAAAGATAAAATACCTGAAAAAAATACCCCATGTTCATAAATAGACATAATGTATGGATGGCAATATCACCCAAACTGATTGAAATATCAGCTGGCCTTTTTTCCCTCAAAAATTAATAACCTAGACATTAAGATGATATGGAGAGACCCTGACATGGAAAACATTTTTTAAAAGAAAAACAAAACAAAACAAAAATTCTTGGTACCATTAACCATCCCCGTCAGAATGGCTAAAGGGGTATCCTTACATACTGCTGATAGGAATATAAATTAGAAAAGCCATTATAGATAACAGTATGGCGATTTCTTAAGAAACTCCTATGATCCAGTAATCCCATTTTTTAGTATATATCCAAAAAGCATGAAATCAATGTACCATGTCTATGACAGTACTGTTCACAAGAGTCAAGATCTGGAATCAGCCACGGTGTTCATCATCAGATGAACTGATAAAGAAAATGTGGCATCTAAACACAATGAAATACTATTCAGCCATAAAGGGGAACGAAACTGTCACTGCGACAAAAAGGGTAGAACGGGAAGACATCATGTTAAGGTGAATAAGCCAGATGCAAAACAATTGTTATTTTTCCTTATATACAGAAGCTAAAAACAAAACAGCAAACAAAAACACCAACTCTCAACTTGGATAGTCTTGAATACTAAAGTCTGGAAGGAATAGAGAAAGTTTGGGTTATTAAACAGTAGAAGCTAGGTTTGATTCATTAATTGTGATTAGTATATATACTACTAATAAAAGGTGTTAATAATAAGGGAAGGTGGGTGAGGGTTAGAGGGGAACTCGTTGAATTACCTCACAATTTCTGTTTTGTAAGTTTTATACTACTCTGAAATTAAAATCTAAACCGAGAAGACAAACAAGATCTCATTCTTCCCAATTTCAAACCCACTTCAGGACAGTGTGACATGCAGAATATATATAGAACTGAGAGGTCAGAAACAAACTAATTTTTCTAGCCAACTGATTTTCAGTAACAGTATTTTCAGCAAGACAACTCAGTGGAGAAAAAACAGTCTTTTCAAGAAGCAGTATTGAGAGAACATGGTAACAACATGTAGAATCACTCCTCCATTCCTTACATAAAAAGTAACTTTTAAAAAAAAGTAAGGTGGGGCAGGCATAGTGTCTCAACAAGCTAATCCTCTATCTGTAAGCGCTGGCACACCATAAGGGCGCCAGTTCATGTCTTAGCTGTTCCACTTCCTATCCAGCTCCCTGCTGTGACCTGGGAAAGCAGCAGAGGATGGCCCAAGTCCTTGGAACCCTGTACCCTTGTGAGAAATCTGGAAAAGGCTCCCAGCTTCAGATCAGTTCAGTGCCAGCCACTGCAACCACCTGGGGAGCAAACCAGTGGATGGAAGATCTTTCTGTCTCTCTTTCTCTCTGTAAATCTACCTTTCCAAAAAAATAAATAAGTCTTAAAAAAATAATTAACAGACCCAAAGTTAAAACTGAAATGTTTAAATTCTTAGAATATATCAGAATCAAATTTCATTAACTTGGGTTAAGCAATGGTTAGCAGATACTGCATGAAATGTATAAACAACAAAAGAAAATTATCAAATATACCAAATTAAAAGATTTGTGCTATAAATTATACCATTAATAAAATGAAACAAAAATCCACAGAAAAGAAGAAATAAGTATCAAGCAATCTGGTAAGAGATTTCTACGCAGGACACATAAAGAACACTTACACAACTCAATGATTAAAGACAAATAACCTCACTAAAAAAACAATAACTACAAAAACACAGGCAAAGCATTTAAACAGTACTTCCTCTGTAAGAAGTAAAATTGAGCAATAACTATATGAAGAAACAAGACCATCAATGCCCTCAGTAAAATGCACATCAAAAGTGCATGATCGCTTCTCAGCCTTTTGGCTAAGATCAAGTGTAAAAGTATAGTGCAATACCACTTCATTACTCACAAGAATAACTATAACCAAAAGACCAACAATAACATGTTGGAGAAGATGTAGGGAAAATGGAATCATTGTATACTGCGAAAGAAACACAGGTTAACAGTTTTTCATAATGTGCAACGCAGAGGGACACAGAAATTTCACTCCCATATATCTATTCAAAAGAAATAAGTGTTCACACAGAAATGTATATGCAATTACACACAGCACCAATTATTCACAAAAGCCAAGAGGTGGAACTTGCTCAAATATCGACCAAATGATGAATAAAGAGATAAAATGTGAAATATAATGGAGCATTGTTTGACAAAAAGAGAAACGAAGCACTGCATACTGCAAGGCAGATAAACGTTGAAAACAGGCAGAGTTAAAGAAGATAATCACAAAAGGCCACATAGTAAATGACTCCATTCACTTGGAATACCCAGAATAGGAAAAGCCATAAAGATAAAAAGTGGGAGTCAATGTTGTGGTGCAGATAGTTAAGCTGTTACGCCTGCACTGAGATTGCGGCAACAGTTGGAGTACTCAGCTGCTCGCTTCCACTGGTTCCTGCTAATGTGTCTGGCAAAGCAGTGAGGGTGGTCTGAATCCCTAGGTCACTACCACCCACAGGGGAGACCTAGATGGAGATCCAGGCTCTTACCAGTCCGGGCCAGTTCTAGGTATTGCATTCATTTGGGCAGTGAGTCAGCAGACAGAAGATAACATTCTATGTGTCTGTGTGTTCTGTCATTCTCCTTTCCAAATATATAAATAAAAAGACAAAAAGTAAACTAATTGTTACCTTGGACTGGGTTAGGGGAAGGGTAGGAATGTGGAGTAACAGATTCTTATGAGAATGCGGTTTCTTTTTTCAGAACAAAGAAAATGCTCTAAATTAAATTCTGAGGAAAGTCACACAATTCTGAGTATGCTAGGAATCACTCAATTGGATACTTTGAATTGTGTGATATATGATGTATGTCTCAATAAAGCTGGCTAAAAAAAAAAAACCCCATACATTATAATCTTAACCCTTAATTATTTCCTAAATTAGCTGTGAATAGTTCTAACAAACCATCGGTTTTCCTCTTTCCTCTTTGCATTTCCCTCCCTGATTTTCCATAAAGCTCTCATATATACAGTAGTTAAAAGACCCTTAAAGCGGAACTCGCCTCTCTTTGTCCTGATGAATCCTGGTTTCCTAGAAAGTGCTTTTTGAGGGAAAAATCAATGCAAATATTAATGGACTAGGGAAAGTAATATTGTCATGACATTAAGCTAAGTTTTTATGAGGATATCTAGAATGATCTTAGCACGTAAAAAGGAACAAATAAGGGTAAGCATGCGGATCATTGCGTAAGGCACCACTTGGGGTATCTTGGATTGAATCCCAACTCTGCTTCTAACTCCAGCAGGTGACACCAACTGAGCAGACTGGAGGGAAAGACTTGATAAAACTGATGAGAAAATTTCACTACTTTCTCAGCTCATTCCCAATTATGGAGATGCATCTCTGTTACCTTACACACAAACACAGACACACACAAAACAACACTATATTCTGTGAAAGCAAGCAGTCAATTTGAATACACTATCATCATTATCATAAATTATTCTTAAATGGCATCTCTGACGTAAAAAAAATTGGCTTATACAAAGATGTTATGTCAGAGTTAATCCTCTCTTCTGCTGGATAATTATTTCAGTCAGACCTGTGAACAGTACTCTTCCTGGAAAAACACCAATTGAAAGATCTGAGTATGTTCCAAACACTCCAGCAGATCACTCACCAGCATGATAACCCCTTCTGTTCTGGAGTATTTAGAAAGCATCCAATCAAACTTTCTAACAATATCTTACAGTCAGTCAATTAGCCCAAACTATAAAACTGCCAAATCCACAGTACATAAAGAAATTATTAAGAAAATTTTAAATACCAAAGAAACCCCATCTCAAGACAATAAGACAATGCTACAAAAAGGCACCCATAAATAATGCATTTAGGATGGGCTGGATATTATGGACACACAAAATGTCCACTTATTTTCCAAAACTGAACTCGATAATTCTTAATTACTGCTAAAGAGACACAGTTTAATATTTGACAAATGTTCAGACATGTAATGAAAATAAAATGTAATCAAGCACTGCCGAACAACGTTTTAGTCAACATTCACAACAGTGGTCCCATAGTGGTCCCACTGGATTCTTAACACCTACTGACTTGGTAGCCCTTAGACTGTAAGTAAACTACATGATATTTACAAACTGACAAAATGGTCCAATATACATTTCCTTGAGTGTCTTTCCTTCATTAAGCAACACATGACTGTAAAACATAACCCAGGCAGGCCTGGCGGCATGGCCTAGCAGTTAAAGGCCTCGCCTTGAACGCACCAGAATCCCATATGGGCGCTGGTTCTAGTCCCGGCAGCTCCACTTCCCATCCAGCTCCCTGATTGTGGCCTGGGAAAGCAGTCGAGGACGGCCCAAAGCTTTGGGACCCTTTACCCATGTGGGAAACCTGGAAGAAGTTCCTGGACCCTGGCTTTGCATCGGCATAGCACTGGCCGTTGTGCTCACTTGGGGAGTGAATCATCGGACGGAAGATCTTCCTCTGTCTCTCCTCCTCTCTGTATATCTGCCTTTCCAGTAAATAAATAAATCTTTAAAAAAAAAAAAACATAACCCAGGGGAACACAATGGAATGTATCAATTAGGAAATAAAACTTTGAAAGAACTAAGAGACAGTCAATAATGCCCCCAAAAGTTAAAAAGTTTATTTTACTAGATGCTGCCTATCAAAACTTAAAATTAATACCAAAATCATATGAACACAGGAAAACACATGAATTTGGCATCCAAATTTAT